GGGGGGTTGAGGAGAGAGGAGAGTTTTAAGCTTCGCTGTGCATTTGGAGGAACTATGTTGATGTTTTCTTCTGCTAAATTCTTAGAGTGGACTTCCCGAGGCTTAAAGTTCTCTCCATACTGAAACTGGTAGATGATGCTTTATCATGTCGGGGAAACTACATGGTTTTATAGAGATGTTAGACTCTCCTGGAAAAAAGATTTTGTCTCCTGCTGAGCGAAATCTGTTTGTCTGAGTAGTGCTTTTCAACCTATTGGATGAATGATTATTTATTAGTCCTTACCACTTTCTTTTGGTTAGTAAATGGGGAAACATTTAAACTTTTATTTCTTTCCCGAATGAGATGCTTACTTTTCGGTCTCTCAAAATCTTTACAATTAATAGATATTGTGGTTGTGGATTTACCCATGATTTAAACAGATATTTTTACTCTTGTGGGTGAGTTACTGAAATTAAGCTGTCGACCTTTTCGTCCCATTTTTCGTTCTTAGAATTCTTATAATTAAGTAAATAATAGTGTGCTCTCTCTAGCAGCTTAAGCTTTTAAATGAGATGGTCACACACTTCAACATGTAGTATCACATTGTGGTCTTGGGTTTGAGTCTCACCAGCCATTCATTATCAAAGGGAGTTCCGACGTACTTGGCCATGAAAAAGAATCAGGGGTGTGTTGAAGAGAATAATTAAGTAAACAAAAATGTGCTCTTTTTAACAATTTAAACTTTTGGAGGAGATGTCCACACACTTCAACACTTAGTAACTCAAAGTTGGATTTATTGGAAAGTCCAACATTCTTTTTTAAGGATTTTGTTTTCAGTTCATGCTTTAAAGAAATTTTGTCTCTTGTATTATCATTTTATGCTTTATTCTGATTTACCCAATTTATCAGGAAAGTGAAAGTGAGTATGCAGCCAGATGTGGCTTCTGAAGAAATAGAAGGTTCAATGCCAAATCACAGCGTCAACGGTCCTCAGAAAGAATCCAAACTGGAGCTCTTTGGCTTTGATTCTCTTGTAAATATTCTGGGTCTCAAGAGGTAAGAGGTAAACATTCTGTGGTCCTTTTCATTTTATTTACTTCTTTCCTACAAACCTTCTATCTTGTCAATTAAATAAATTAATGAACACGACACCAACTTGTTCCAGATTGAGGCGTGGTTGATTGGTTGGTTTAGCTTTGATTTCATCTTGAACTTCAACTTTCCTTTTCAGTTTTTGATGCATGAATAGTATTATGGTTCTAATCAATCTTGCTATTTCAGCATGACAGGGGATCAAATTCAAGCGCCACCTAGTCCAAGAGATGGTGGGGATGTATCTATCACCCTTGAGCGGTCCAGGGTACTGTGATAGGTTCTTAATCATCCGTTCTATTTCCTTAAAAGTTTCATGTCATCATGTCATGCCCCATTAACAATATGGTTTGGTTTAATGGAGGGGAAGACTGAAGAGAAAGGGGGAGGAAAACGTATTACTCTATTTCCATAAATTAATTATTTAACCTATCTATGGTGGTTTTTGTACAGCTGGAAGAGAAGCAAAAGACGTGCACCTTTCTGTTCATTTCTTGTGAGACGGAAAAAGTTGACGTGGATGGGTAGCATACTCCATTTTTATCCTCTCTAACTTTTACCTCCTAACTAAAAGAGGGAAATATCATTCTCTTTTCTTTTAATCCAAACATGGAACGTGCTATCAGTGGAGATTCTCTCATGGGATTCTCCTTTCTTTGGAGAATCATTCCTTATTTTGGTTATCCTCTTTTATGCGTTCCTTGGTCTCTTTTGGGGGAGGCCAATGGGGTGTGGTTAAAAAAAAATATTTTTTGGATCTTTGAATAAACTGTGAACAGTGGGAAAGAAGGTGGCTAAAGGGTAGACTGAAGGTTATAAGAAGACAAAAGTGTAGAAAAGCTTAGTTTAAAGTAAATGCATAGTAAGTCAATATATTGTTGACTAATATTCTTGATAAATCTTCATTGGGCGTTCATATTTACTTTTAAACTAAGCTTCAGCCTCTTACACCATTCCTAATTGAGACAAAAGTAGATAGAGTATAAACAGAATATTCAAAAGGTTAAAGCATGAGAGATCCTCAGTAAAATTTTTGTTGTTGGTGTCGATGAATTTGCTTTACTCACTATCTCAGTTTTACACATAAGCTACATGCAAGATAAAAGATAAATCTGATTGAGTAGTTATGTTACTAATTATCCAATATGTGGTAGAGTGAGTGTTCATGTATTCTTAACTGGCTACCTGAAATACAAATATCAACAGTTCAGGGCTGTCCTCTTCTCTCCCCTTCATTTCTCCGCTTCTTTTCCAACTTCATTTTTGAAGTTTGTCTACTGAGTTTTATTTCTGATCAGCATGGAAGAGTGTTCGGTGGATATTGTATTATACTTCTCCAATTACCTGTTTGGTTTCTCCTACTTCTTCTCTTGTTTTATTATTAAATTCTCACAAGTATGGACCTTCACTTGTGCATTCATCAGAACATGCACTTTTCAGATTTGAAATGTTTAGACATAGATCATAAATTCATAACTTGCAGCTTGCATGTAGTACTGAATTTAATTCTGTAATGATGGGTTGATCAATGAAGCTTTGAATGCTTTTTTAATAGTCTCTTTTTTGTGAATATTGTTGAAGCCTACTGCTGTCAAGTCTGGGACATTGATGGGAGTCTTCGTGCCATGCTTGCAAAATATTATGGGAATCATCTATTATATTAGATTTTCTTGGTAAGTTGCATCATATCCAATCTATTACGTGTTCTCTTGGGAATTGTTTTGTGGTCAAGTCTTATAATACTTTAGCTATCAAAAGGTGATCAAGTTTCGGTTCCTTAAACTTGTATTTTAAAGACACTGGTCAACATTCTGGATGTGAATAACTTCCTCCCATTTCCAATACTTCGGCATTCTGTTTGTAACTCCTGGGTTTTATAAGTACCCCACACTAATTGTTATGTTGAGGGGGTAAATTATAAAGCAGAATGATTCCTATAGTATAATTAAGTGATCTACTCACGTCAGAACTATGTTTTGGTATTGATATTTCACAATGGTTCTGTGAGATACTCAAGGTGAGCTGATCTTCCTTCTATCTCTGGCATTCTCCTGATACAGCACTTCTTAGGTAGTGTAATCTTTGAAAGGAGGAAGATAAAAGATCTATGAAATATGAATATAGGAGGAAGGAGTATAAAAGGAGGAAAGGGGAAGATGCACTGGGTGGGAGTGCTGATACACTGGGTGGGAGTGTTGATCAATTGATCTATTTGTGTTAGTCACATGATATTCTTTTCCATTTGACATGCTGTGATATATTTGCTCTGTTTCCTTCTACTCTGTAGGATTGTTGGTATGGCTGGGATTGGTGAGTCGTTGTTGCTGGTTGCTTTCTGTGGATCTTGTACTTTCCTGACCACAATATCATTAAGTGCTATTGCTACCAATGGTGCCATGAAGGTGAAGAGGAATTTGATCGTTAGATAGAATGTAAATGAAGATAAAAGAGATAGCTTCTCTATTTTGCTTTCCTGTATTAGACACATGCACTTTCTTTATTTCCCAGTAACTTAGATGGTCAATAATTTCCTTGATTTGTTTCCTCTAAATTAGGGTGGAGGACCTTACTATCTCATTGGTCGTGCTTTGGGTCCAGAAGTTGGTGTTAGCATTGGGCTGTGTTTTTTTCTGGGAAATGCAGTTGCTGGAGCAATGTGAGTATACAACCTGACCTTTTATACTATGACTTACTCACTTGGCCAATGTAGCAGAGGAGGCTACATCGCTTTCATCATTTGACACTAGCAAATGAGGTTACAATGCTTTTATCACTATCTATAACAGTTTGAGTTGATGCTCTCTGCTGTGACATGCCTGTCTTCTAGGTATGTATTGGGAGCTGTGGAAACCTTCTTAAATGCTGTACCAGCTGCTGGTATTTTTAAAGGTATTTCTTGAGTGAGATTGTCGCACTCGATTTATTGGTTAGAATTTAGTGTTTCGAGAAGACTGCAGATCATGTTTTTGCTATGAGTGCTCCTTGGATCTTGCCTTCTTTTATAGGGGTAATTCTTTTTTGGGTCTACTTGTATAGGCAAGTTTGAATGTTTGATGATCATCTGCTCTCTTCCTTGGCTTTATGCTTCATACATTCAATGAGTACTTTTTGGTTGATTCTTTACTAGGTAATACACTATTTTGTCAACTTCATTTGTATTGCTGAATTTTACTCTGTCGTATATGCAGAAACTGTCACAAAAGTTAATGGTACAGCTATTGCGGAGCCCATTACAAGGCCAAGTTTGCATGATCTGCAAATTTATGGGATTGTCGTGACTATTCTTCTCTGCTTCATAGTTTTTGGTGGTGTAAAAATGATTAATCGTGTCGCACCGGCATTCCTTGTACCTGTTGTATTCTCATTGATCTGCATATTCTCTGGCATCCTTTTGGCAAGGCATGATCGTCCAGCAGGTTTATGTTGTTTATGCCTTCCTTTCTTTAATTTTTTGAAAGCTTTGCAAAGTGTTCTGCTGCTTAGACATAGTATATTACACACTTAAAATTAAAATATATATAAGAAAAAATGCTTGCTTGATGGTGTAAGGTTTTCCCTTGTCACTCTTTCTTAGTAGAAAGCTGTCAACCAATTCATATGGTTCTGGCCCTTGAGAAGAGTGGTGGCTTATTGCTATTGCTAAGCTGGTCTGTAATACAACAACAACAACAACAACAACAACAACAACCACAACCCAGTAAAATCCGACTAGTGGGGTCTGGGAAGGGTAGTGTGTACGCAGGCCTTACCCCTACCCCGAAGGGGTAGAGAGGCTGCTTCCGAAAGACCCCCGGCTTAAGAAAACAAAAGGACAAAAGGAGACAATATTAGTATCACCATAGAAGTCATAGGAAAAATAGGAACAACATGAAATTCAGAAGAAAGATGCAAAGCAAAGCAAAAGCGATAGCTAGTAAATAGGTCATGCACTGAAAAGCGAAATAGTAAGACACAACGTTGCCACTAGTTGTCTTAGACAAAAACCCTACCAGACTAGTCTCACAAAGGTACGAAGTAAGGCAAGACTCAACTACCTCCTAACCTACAATTCTAATACTCGACCTCCACATCTTCTATCAAGTGTCATGTCCTTGGAAATCTGAAGCCTCGCCATATCCTGCCTGATCACCTCTCCCCAATACTTTTTAGGCCGCCCTCTACGTCTTCTCGTGCCCTCCACAACCAGCAGCTCACACCTCCTTACCGGAGCATCTGAGCTTCTCCTCTTAACATGCCCGAACCATCTGAGCCTCGCTTCCCGCATTTTGTCATCAATGAGAGCCACATGCACCTTCTCCCGAATATCATCGTTCCTAATCTTATCTATCCTAGTGTGCCCGCACATCCACCTCAACATCCTCATTTCTGTTACTTTCATCTTCTGAATATGTGAGTTCTTAACAGCCCAACACTTAGCCCCATACATCATGGCCGGTCTAACCACCGCTTTATAGAACTTACCTTTGAGTATTGGTGGCACTCTATTGTCACACAGGACTCCAGATGCTAACCTCCACTTCATAGTCAATCTGAATTTGATAAGTCAACATCTGCAATTTTCAGCATTTTATATCGCTTCATGGTGGCCCTTACTATTTCCTTGATGTATTTAGTTTCCTTCGTCCTTCGTTTAGGACATTCTAAATTTACAGTTAGGTTTGATGAATACTACTCGTAGGACGTGCTTCATTGCGTTGAATAATGTATATCGTTGTCCTGATTAAAGAGGTTACTATGCTGCCACAACTGCAAACCAGGAGTCTTGACTGGCACTTGGTGGGCCTGTCCACCAAGCGAACCAGCCATATCTGAGCTTCTTACTGTAACTAGACATGCATAGAATAGGCAGAAAACTGAATAAATCACACTTTATATAACTAGAAATAACCCATAAGTCCTATATCGTCCATAATCTGACAAGATTTGTAGTTCAACTAAACACAACCAAAATGCTAATACAGAGTTCATGAAGCTGACTATGAGTTCTCAACTCTTACAACTGAAAATTGTCAAAAGCATCATTAAATAAACTGTAGCTAAGGACCCACGATGGAACAATGGGTTGACCAACAGTCTGGAATGGTAGCTGCTACTCCTAAGCTACCAGATCTACCTTTCACTCTGTAAGATGATAAGTGAGTGGTGAGTCCACTAACCCAGTGAATAGATAATATCCATAATTGTTGGGACACGAAGTTTATAAAATAAATCATATGCTATCATCTTTATATGAGATTAAGTACAAATATAATCTTCTATATCTGTAAACAAACTGCTGTCTGATGTTGTGTATATACTGCCCATCTCTTATCTAAATTTATAGCGAGTATATGCATAAATTATCTTAATATCGTCAATCTACACACCCACATACAAGATTATCAGAATCTGAAAACCATGCTTACCATGAATGCTGTTACAGAGGTTTGAATCCAACCTGATTAATTAGGTATCCATGCGCATCGTGTGTACATTATTAAGGGGATTTGATACCACCCTTATTAGCCAGTAGTACTTGCACAATCTAAATCTGGCTCCTAATCTAATGCTGTCACATTGTACCTTTTACCAGCTTAATAAATACTTTTATCTTACCAAAAAAAACTAATGCTGCCACGAGTGTAACGTTATGTGATGACACGTTACAAGGAGACAATATCAACTCGAATATTTTGAGCTTTCTCCGAAAATTTACTTTCTCATCTTAAGCTTATAGTTTAACAGAAAAGCGTAATATCTCGAAACGCATTTGTCATCGAAGGAGGAGGTCACGTGTCGGGCTTGTTCTCACGTGTGTCAATCAACTCTTATTTATGGGAACTTACCCATATATAGATAGAGGAAAACGTTGAATAGGGATATTCAAAATTATAATCCATTTCAGTATCTTCTGCTTCTCTCTCTGTCTCTCTCTTCGCTCCCTTCTCGTCTCTTCTCTTCTCCTTCTTCTGCTCTCATCTTCTTCTTAATTCTTCTTATCCATTGAATTAGGTAGTTCGGTTTAGAAATTGATGTATTGATTCCCAAGCTTGTAACTGATTGTACAAATTCGTTTGATCAATAAACTTTCCAATTTAGTTTCAAAGTCTTGAGTACATTACAATACTTTGCTATTAAATTCTTACTAATTCTGCCTTTACTTCTGGAGTACATTACAATTGGTATCAGAGCCTAATCTTGGCACCTTGTGGAGTTGGCAGCCATGTCAGAAGAAACCGTATATGAGGAAAGACAATTCAGTCGGCTGGGGTTAGAATGGGGGCAAGCTTTGATAAATTGGGTAAAGAATTGGATGGACTAAACCAGAAACTGGACAAAATCTTGGAGATGCTTGGAATTAGTGTGGAAGATAAGGGAACTGATTATCACGTTCTTAAAAAAGATCAAGAAAGTGCAGGAAAGGAAATAGAAGTTGGAGAATCTGGTGATCAAGAGGTTCCATCAAGTGACGGTATCTTAAGATCAATTTATGTGCCTAACGAACCTATGGTAGAACTCTTTAAACTTGGAGAAACCTCTGTCAGAAAATCTTCTACACTTGAAATCGCTGGGAAGTTAAATGGGCCGAACGAATATGTCGAAATTGTGCAATGATCTTCTATTAGCAATGATCTGGAATCTCTTTTTGGTAAGCCCAATAAAGTGGGACGATGTGCAAAGAACTTTAAGTGCATAATCACTAGTAATCTATTTAGTAGGAGTTATGACTCAAATGATGCACTCAAGCTGTTTGATGAATTGCTCAAATTAGATGCAACACATGTTTCATGTTTGTTTCTACGGGTTAGTAACTCCCTATCATATGGCCCTAAAGAGAAAAATGATGAAACTATTGTCGCTTTTGATCCAGGAGGTAATACATTTACCATGTTTGATGTTAGCTATATGAAGCTTGATGAGTCTAGTTTCCTCTCGTTATTGGGTACTTGCTCACAATTAATGATACTAAGTTGTATTGCGCGGATAACGTTCAACTCGCTGAATCAATTGAAGGAGCTGTATAATGGAGTCAAAATTAAAGTTGATACCTCATTTTCTATGTTTATGTATTATCTGGATTACGCAGAAATACAATTGGCTAATTGTGAGAAGATTACAAACAAGCGGATTGTGAAGCGGCTTAACGGGGTTGTTGGTGTTTACTGGACAAACATCAATTTACAAGCTAATTTCTTAGCCAACTTTCTGCCAGGATGGAGTATCACTGTTGGTGTTGGTTGGAACTATTGCTCAAATGATACATCACATAAAAGTCTAGGCATGTCTTCAAGAGTAGCAGTGAAGTATAAGAATTCATTGAGTTCATTTACTATAATAATTGATTGGGAAAAAATTTCTAAATCACTTTATCAAGGTGTTAGAGCCAATGTTCCATGTGTTGTTTTTGGATTTATTGAGGTGGTTCTTGTGGATAAGAGAGTGGTTGCGACATACTGGTCAGGTGTACTTAAATCCAACAATAAAACTAACTTGCATTGGGAGAAATGGATTGTGCTGAAACAACTTCATTCACTACAGTTTGTTTCCATTCTTAGTTGCACAATGCCTAGAGTCATCACTTGGTTGGATAATCTACTGCTAATTACATACCTGAACACTTGGGCAATGAATTACGAGCCAAGAGGAATAACTGTTGTTGGCAATTTACTACGTAATGATGAATTTCATTACATACTTGGTGTCTTGAACATTCTTAGTAATGACTTTCCGGACATACTTAGGACCTTAAAAACCCCTGGACTGCCCGAAAATATTAAAAGTGCAAACAAACCAGCAACTGCTAAAGGTTGTGGAGAGTTGTTTCCTGCAGTTGAAGAATTCAAGGAAGGAATTCAACTTTTTTTCGTAAATGCTAAAGTTGTATTGCATCCATTGACAATAAAACTTATTGTAGTTGTTGGAAGTTCAAGTGCCAACTACTTAGCAGGTCTGTTTATCACAAGTGGAACTATCAGTATTGAAGGTTGGGATACTACCAGTTTACAAGGTTATTCAATGTTGCTGTTGTTCTTGTCCATTAGGAGGAGTCATTCTGGAAGGAAACATTTTCTTGGTATCAATTTGGTTGCTGCAATCGATTATCCTTGTCATGGCTTGACTCCAGTAGTTCACTGCCATTTCAGACAAAGCAACAATAATATGAAAAGCACTCCAAATGGGAGCAAAGTCTTGAGGAAATCTCTTCAGTTTATAATCACTAGAAACTTCTGTCATCATGGTTCAATAATGACCTTGAGGACAAGGTCAATTTCAAGCGGGAAGGATTGTTATGATCGGGCATTTGTTATCGAAGGAGGTCACATGTCGGGCTTGTTCTCACGTGTGTTAATCAACTCTTATTTATGGGAACTTACCCATATATAGATAGAGGAAAACGTTGAATAGGGATATTCAAAATTATAATCCATTTCAGTATCTTCTGCTTCTCTCTCTGTCTATCTCTCTTCGCTCCCTTCTCGTCTCTTCTCTTCTCCTTCTTCTGCTCTCATCTTCTTCTTAATTCTTCTTATCCATTGAATTAGGTAGTTCGGTTTAGAAATTGATGTATTGATTCCCAAGCTTGTAACTGATTGTACAAATTCGTTTGATCAACAAACTTTCTAATTTAGTTTCAAAGTCTTGAGTACATTACAATACTTTGCTATTAAATTCTTACTAATTCTGCCTTTACTTCTGGAGTACGTTACATAATCTCAATATTTTTTTTAAATGGTAACATGCATATATAAATCATCAGCACAAAGATTGTGCTGGAAGCCAAAATGAGAAGGTTACATCAGTTCATAAGAAGAGAAAGAGAAAAAAAACCAAAAGTCCTTGTTCTTCTTACAAGGAATCTAACACATCTAGAATTGCCTCGGATCCTCTATGGATTCAGATTTACACCAAAAACTGAAAAGAAGTATACAATTCATCTTGATTTTCTGTAAAGGGCTGCTTCTATCTTCAAAACATCTTGAATTCCTCTCCTTCCATATTGTCCACCAAATGCTTGCTGGGACAATTTTCCATCTGTCTTTGTTCATTGTACAGTTTCCTCCTTTGTTCCAGCATGTCACACATCAGAGGTTCTTCCAGGCATTATCCATCTGATTCCTCTGATTTTAATGAATAAGTCCCATAGCTGGCTAGCCTGGCTAGTAATTCTACAATGTAAAACAGATGGTTGATTATCTCTGCTTCCTGCCCATACAAGTAGCATTTTGAACAGGGTTGGAATCTCCCCTCCTTATGAGATTATCCTGAGTCAAAACAGCTTCTCTTGCTACTAACCAAGTGAAACAGGCCACCTTGTATGGCACTTTGACTTTCCAGATATGTTTCCCCGGCATAAATGTGAGCTGAGATCCTACCTGGTTTAGATCTTTGTAAGCTGAGCTAACTGTATAGTTGCCACTACAATGGCTTTGCCATCTAAGTGTATCATCTCCCTCATGCAGCCCATTGCTCTGTTCTAACGTACTAAAAAACTCTGTTATCCTTGGTATTTCCCAATCTTGAAGTAATCTTCTGAAAGTTGGATTCCATCCGTGTGTGGACCAAAACTCCTGTAAAGTGGCCCCCTGTTGTAGACTCAAACCATGTAGATCAGGGAACATCACCACTAGACAGTCATTTCATGACCAATTATCCTCCCAGAACAAATAATTTATGCAGCCCATTGCTCTGTTCTGAAGTTTAATGTGAAGGATCACAAATAATTTATTTTACAACATTGTGTAATAGTTAAATCATTCTTTCCCAAATAAATTGAATAAATTAGAATATGCATTATATCTAAGTATAGTTTCAATGTAGCTACCAATTCATATGCTGAAGCCAAAAGCATGTCAACACAAGCATTTACCTGTTCCCGCACATGTAACGTTGCGGTAGGCCATAATGGACTTGGGCGTTATCTTGATCATACTTGATAATTTGAAATCTCATTTTTGTTTATATAAACATGCACACTTTAGTAAAATGATGCTAGTTACTGGAAAACGCCAAATACAAATACAGGAAAGTTACTACTCATGGTAGATCTACATTGTTAATACTCGATCTCACAACTTGCTTCTAACAAAAACCTGAAGAAATTATTTGTGGTCTTCTCAGCAAATTTGAATGCTTTAAGAGCTAAAGAGTAGGCAAGGAGTTAGCTAAGTGGGCAATGAATTATCTAGTGAGTGGACCTAAGGTGGGCAGTGAAGTATATGATGAGAATCCTAAGCTGCTCGGACACGGGTGCAGATCTAGAGGTCAGATCCTTCAAGATGTAAATTCTAAGATTCGGGGATATGGATCCTCGGACGGATACGGGTGCGGGGATCCGACTAAAAATAATTCAAAAAAGAAGAATATCTCTAAATTATGAGAAATTTTGTGGACTACTTACGTATAGCTTGTAAAGTGGGGATTTCATTTTTATTCTCAAGTTGTAGATAAGTAGAGGATTGATTTCCTAGATAAGGTATGCTATTTTCTTCAAATTTACCCTAGTTTTGGTTCTGATTTGTGGAATCAAATTGTTTTTCGTCTGGGATTTTTCCGTCTGTCATGGTCAAAGTACCCAAAATAGTTTGACCATATCCGGTATGGATCCCATACCCAAACCCATACTAGTATCATGTCGACACGGGTGCGGCACCTAAATTGCCGTGTCGAAGAAACTTAGTGAGAATCTAATGTGAGGTTTCTGGTTTGAAAGTTCCCCTTGTTCTAACTAGCTAAGGCAACTAGATTTAGGGTTTCTAGAAGTCCTTCACACTAAGTAAAGTAATACTAAGGTTCCTTTTGCAATTTGGCCACTAACTAAACTTATTTTTCATTATTATTATTATTATTATTATTATTATTATTATTATTATTATTATCATTATCTTTATTGTTATTGTTGTTGTTGTTGTTTTTGTTGTTGCTGTTGTTATTGTTGTTGTTATTATTACTAATTTATTACTGCTACTTCATGCACCTCACTCACTCTTTATGCATGTTTGAAAAAGTAAAAAGTTCAAGAACATAATTGACCAAATTCTTATTGTCAATCTAATCTTAGAAGAGCGCATTTATTGTGCCATTATCTTCCAAGTTGGAAAAAAGGTACATATCATTCTTTTTTCTTGTAAGAAATCAAAAGAAAGGAAAAAAAGATTATTTTTCTCGCAGTTACTTAATTTCTCATCCCCGGAGTTCAAAACGTTGCCTCAACGATACTTAAAGCACATGTGCGGCAGGATATTACATTTGCTTTCTTGTATATCCTGGTTACAACTTTGCACACTTTTGAGTATGTCCCAACTAATTGTTCAAATTGAGGCAGATTTCCTGTTCAATTGTGAAAGCATGTAGTGCTCCTTTCCAAGTGGAGTAACTAGATAAAAACAAGGACATGCAAAGGGAATGGAGGAACTAGGCTTTCTAAAATGAAGGCCTGGATCTTCATTTGCTAATTTCTTTATTTGCTTTATGGGGTGGATACTATTGTCATAATTTTCTGAGAGAGAAAATTTAAAAGTTCTCGATGCTTTACTTCATGATCATTTTAAGAGGAAGCAGAGGTATAGGCTATAGCTTCCATCTTAGTATGCAAACTGCTCATGAAACTTTATATTGATTTATAGTTAAACATAATTTCTTTTTGTTTGAATATATAATGGCGTTCTCATTACTTTGTGTTGCTATGCATGATACAGTTGCGTTCACGGGGTTGAGTTCGGAATCTTTCAAGGAGAACTGGGGTCCTGCTTATCAGAGGACTAATAATGCTGGAATTCCAGATCCTAATGGAAAAATATACTGGAATTTCAAGTAAGACATGCAAATATTTGCTTGCTTCTCTCTCTCTTTCTCATGCGTGCTTATTCATTATGCATGATATTTTTCCATTATGCATGATACTTTTGCCAGTAATAAGTCCATTCTTCTTTCTGCCTTGCCTTTTACTTCGTGATGCATAAGTTCAAGTGTGTTAAGTTGGGTCTTAACATTTGTTTGTTTCTCCATGTAAGTGCATTGGTAGGTCTCTTTTTTCCAGCTGTGACTGGAATCATGGCAGGTTCAAACCGTTCAGCGTCACTAAAGGATACTCAACGTTCGATTCCTGTTGGGACATTAGCAGCAACTTTGACAACTAGCGGTTTATATCTAGTTTCAGTGCTATTCTTTGGGTCCGTTGCAACTCGAGATAAGCTCCTGACTGACAGGTACATCTAAATTACAATGCTCTTATGATGTTTCTCATTACTGTCTTGTTTCTAAATGAAATACAGTGGTCTGAGTGGCATGCTTTGTAAATTTAGACTCAAGTATGTTGATGTACAACAATTACTTCCCAAATTTTGAGTAGGTGGTGGTGCCGTGGGTCAACAAACTGTATGTAGCAAAAGATCAAGAATACCAACTCCCAAGACTTCCTTTTCGGAAAGTTGATTCTGTGGAATAATGAAGAACGCTCTTTATTTATTTCATATTTCAGTTACGTGGCTGGATCTGGATGTGGTTCATTAAGACCTATACTTCTCTGTATTTGGTGTTATACTCTGTTTTTTTTGTGGGTGGGGTTGTAGAGGTAAGGTTCGAGGTGGGAAAGCAAATGAGGAAGGATAAATGTGTCCATTTGTTTAGGAAGTGAAAGAGGAGTGGAAGTAAAAGTGGAAGGGTGTAACCCTCCTGAATTTATCTTCAACTTTCCAAAAACTGGGGAGAAGGAGAAGCAAAATCTCTTTTACTTCCCTTTTAATATTACCAAGGGGAAGAATAGATAAAGTATACCAGTCTTCCCCCCTCTCCTTCCTTGAATCCAACATATTGCGAGTTTGGGATGGACCAGTGTTGCTTTTCCTTGTGGTGCCTAGTTCTAAGGTCAATCTGTGATAACTCATCAATAGATATGCCATGTTATTGCAAGAATTTGTTGTATTGGTCTTGTTCGTTTTGATGTTTAGGATAGTTCTTTTCCCCCTTTTTGTCAATTATTATCATNAAAAAAAATCACTTCATAACTTTGTTTAATGACTTTTATTTGACCCACAAGCCAATAACTTTGTATGAAAGAGATTATTTCATTATATTAAATGGTATTTCATAATCTATTTACAGTGCCTGACTAATGTTTTCGTCCAGGTTGTTGACTGCTACAATTGCTTGGCCATTTCCAGCAATTGTTTATATCGGTATCATCCTTTCAACATTGGGAGCAGCCCTTCAAAGCTTGACTGGTGCACCACGTCTCCTTGCTGCGATTGCAAATGATGATATTCTACCAGTTCTCAACTATTTTAAAGTGGTAGATGGAAGTGAGCCTCATGTGGCTACTTTCTTCACTGCCTTCATCTGTATTGGATGTGTTGTAATTGGGAATCTGGATCTTATTTCACCAACTATAACAATGTTTTACCTCCTATGCTATGCTGGTGTGAACTTATCCTGCTTCCTTCTAGATCTGTTGGATGCTCCCAGCTGGCGACCTCGGTGGAAATTCCACCACTGGAGTTTCTCTCTTGTTGGAGCATTACTTTGTATAGGTATTTTCTTCTGCTTTTTGCTGTTGGACAACTGGTTTTATCTCTCTGTTTTAGTTGATACTTGATACGGCTGGTAATAAACAAATTTTCTATGTTCATCATAATATTCACTTCATATTGCTTTATCTTGCCAAGAAAACCATCATCTTGGTGCAACCGTTACAGATGAGTGAGTGTCGAGGAGTTTGAAACTTCCGTTGTTTGACCTGAGGACCTTTAATTATCAATATATTGCATCTCCAAATACGTGCCACAAATTCTTTTGCCTATTTCTGACAGAGTTTGGTAACATTTTTCCGGGTAGTTTTTCGTTAGTCTGATTTTATATTTGTGAAGAAATGGATCTTGGCCTAACTCAACCCAGGATTGAACAATTGGAGCATGAATAACATAACATGGGGTCCAACATTGAGAAACACAACAACAGGGATCAATGGGTCTGGTTCCGATACACTGTGAAGAAATGGACCTTGGGCCTAACCCAACCCCAAAAGCTAGCTGATGAGGGAAGGATTGTCCAATATCATATAAGAAGACTACATCCCATTCCCTCAACCACTTTGGGACTTAACAATATTCAGCTACTTTAGGCCGTTGTTACCAATTCTAATTTGATAGGTTGAAGGGTTGAATGTATTCTCTTTGATTTTTATTGTGTCTTCATAGAAACTATAATTAAAAAAAATAAGAAGATAACTAAGAATGAATTACAATTATTTGGCAATATAAGATTTGCAAATATGTACTCAAATTTTTTGCTTAATCTAAAAAGAAATCAGTTCAAGAGAAGAAAAAATAAAGGTTTAAAAAGATTACCAGGAACAAAGAAGGATTTACCTTGTGGAAATGTGCTCCTGGTTGTTTTTTATGTTTCGACATGCCAATCTTGCTTGGCTAACTCCTTGACATCTTTATTACGTAAGTTGGCAATGGGATAGATGACTATAACCAAACGTGCCATTACTACTGTTTGGTGAGGCTTGTTCTTTTTTCTTTCTAGGATTCCTTTCCAGTGTAGACAATCACATTAAATAGTAATTTTTTTTTCTCTAATATTGGGAAGAGTGAGAATTTTGGTTTATGAAAGTACTGATGTCCAGATGTAGGATGACCTCTTTCGTTGCCTGAATAGTGGTAATGGTTCAGCACTGCTAATGAGTCCAATCTTTATCATCTCATCTTGGCCCTAAAGGAGTCGCATTTTAGACCACTCCCTCCCCTGCCCAAAAAACAAACAATAGAAAATAGCAAGACTATGGTAAAGATACTATGCACAAGGTTCTATCCTATGTAGCACTTCCTGTGATCTACTTAGGGTCTTGGCTAAGCAAGGGTGCAAACCATATTATTTACCTAACCTTAATAGACTCTTAAGTTTTTCAATCATTTGATCTCTTCCTGCATTTCAGAGTAATTGATGTTCTCTTTCTGCTGTTCATTTTCAGTGATCATGTTTTTGATTTCTTGGGCATTCACTGTGGTATCACTAGCCTTAGCAAGCCTCATCTATTATTATGTGAGTATCAAGGGGAAAGCAGGAGACTGGGGTGATGGTTTCAAGAGTGCATATTTTCAGCTTGCTCTTCGTAGTTTACGATCTTTGGGAGGTATGTATTTGTCTATTTATGTATTTGTTTATTCATTTACATTTCTTGGCAAACAACATAAATCAGACCTTTTTTACTGTCCGTTCCTTGTCTTAAAACATCTGATTGCTCCTCTTATGTGTATTCTATAATTGTTTAAATGTTGAGAGAGAGAAATATAATTTAGGATTGCCTTTGCAAGATCACAGTTTCTTCAATTGTGACTGGTGATTTATCTGCATTTGTCTATGTGCAAACATATTTTTCTTTTTTCTTTTTGGATCTTATGTTGCTTTTCTTTTGGGTATTACAATTGAAGAATGTATTAATTTCTTATTATAGTTCATTTGTTTCTTACACCATTAACCTTACTTACTGTTCTGCAACACTTATTTGCATGTCAGTGCCTTGCATAGACATTTTTATTCTGAAAAAGTGCATCAGATGGTTGACTGCCATATTCATTCAGAAAGATTTCATTTTTATGTTGCCTCACTCTTTTGCCGAAGTTTGTTGCTCTTAACCACATTTCTTTTAAATCTGATTGGTGTCCGGATACTTCTCAATCTGCTTTGGTAACATTATGGCAAGTGCTCGGATGCAAGTCTAGGCAAGGGCGTTTGAAGCATGTCTTATTTCAATCCCTCCCATGTAGTTGAGATTATAAATTTATCTAGTTTCGATTTGGGTCTTGATTCCTCCCTCTTGGACAATGTGAATTTTGATTTTTGCAGTCCTCCCCTTGGACCATGTGAGTTTTATATTTGTCAAAAGATGATCAACAAGTTGATAATTGCTAATGAATACAGAAAACTTCTGCGTTTCCCTAGTATAAACTGCTTTCTTTATCCTTCAGGACCCTTATTGTATCAAAATTACCGCCATATTGTATTATGAACCTCTCAGACTTTTTGGAGCTGTCATTGATCCTTTCCGTTAGCACATATACTCCTCCAAACCCCACTCAATATGCTGCTTCTTGAATTCTTAAATCGTGATGCAATGGAATTCATTCCTATTTTGAACTCTATAATATCCATCTTTCGCTTATCCTACAAAAAGATAATCCCCTGTAATCCCTTAGGAGACTTCTGATAAAATTGGAACGATACAAAGACGATTAACATGATCGCTGCACAAGAATGACAAGCACAAATTGAAAATGGTCCAGTAAAGATAATCTCCAGCATCTCCGCTTGCTGAGAACTTCTCATATTCCGGCACTCTCCTTCCAAATGCATCATTTCTATCTCCATTAGTATAATGCAGATAATTCCTAACTTTGGGACTTTCGCTCTTCGCCGTCTGAATTTGACGGCTACTTCACACATACTAGTCTATCTGCGGGTTCCTCTGGGAGGAGGAGGAGGAACCGGATAGACTAGCCTGTCAGGAAAGTTTTCCTTACATAGAATCCCCCTATGGCAGTTTCATCCCTGTCAATCTGGTACTGTTGTCGTGTTGTGTCGACTCTGGTTGTTAGTAGGTCTGAGGATCCTAGCAAAATAGAATTCCTCTATGTCAACTGCCTTCCCATTAGTCGTAATTGACACTGCTGCCATGGGATCCAGCGGTAACATCACTCTAGCCCCATTTCTCCCTTTCGCCTCTTTCCAACTCTTTCCCAGCTCCTTTTTCCTTCTACCACCACCTTCTCCCCTCTTCCTTTCATCTTGTCCTCCCTATCTCCGCCGGCCCTCTTCTCCTATATAACCATTGTGCAAAACTTGGGTACATGCAAACTCTGTACCCTCGTTCTCCGTCTTCAACCACCGTCGATGCTGAAATTCTTCCCCCACTATTCACGTGGATCCTGACCCTGGACGTGTCGAACACACTGCAAAATACATCCTCACATCCTCCCATATATGTCCCAAATCTTCTTAAACAAGTCAAGACACCGTAAGTGTGTTGGAATTTCGGCAACATTGATGACCATTATCTTCTCTGCTTCTGGATAGGGGTATGATAATAGTGCTTTTGTGATGTTTTGAATATTACCAAGTGACTACAATGTCTACGTTTTGGTTGAAATGAGTAGTATCAAATAAGAGTTGTGACATTTATAAGGAAAATCATGTCCCCCCATAAGCAATGAAAGTTATTTTCTTTTCTTTTTTTGTCGATGGAAAATTTCTTTGGAGATAACATTTTCAACTATTCAAGGTAACCAAACATGACAAAAGAATTTCAACGAGGAATATACCCTTTTGGTGAAAATAATTTTTTTTTGGAGATAGCATATTCCACAATCCAAGAAAACCAAATATGGAAAAATGATTTCATCAAGAAAATTACTTTTTTGGTGGAAAATAGTTTCTTTGGAAATAAAATTTTCAACAATTTGAAATAATCAAACATGGGGAAAATGATTTCGTCAAGGAAACCATTTTCGTCGAAAAGCATTTTTCGCGATATCAAACACTCCTATGGATTGTCTCAAAATTTTCTCTTACATTTATTTTCGACAACGTACTCCTTAGCCCCACTTCTTGTTTTTACCTTGAAGGATTGTGATACCAAAGTCAAGAATTAGCTTTACTAATTAGTATAAATGTGCAAATTTCATTTGAATAAACTTTCGTTTTAAATCAAAGTTATTAAGTATTCTTTCTATATGAAATCGTCCTATATAGTATAATTATGTTTTTGTTTTTATTATAAAGAAGATTTTAATTTTTATTTGTTTATAGCATGGCATGTTTCTTTAAATTAAGCCAATTTCTTTAACTTTGAGGGCATTTTTCCATATTAGGTACTTTTATCCAGGTAGAAATAATCTTATTTCACATTCTACACATGAAATAGTACATAGATTGTGGGATAATTTGTGTAGAAAATGAAGATGGTAACTGAATGTTGTATTAACAATTTGAGTTTTATGTGAGGATTATCGTTTTGATGTTGGAATTCAAATGGGTCCTTAAATATTCTTATACCTATTAAAAGTTAACTTATCCATTCTATTGGCTTTGTTACCCCGGCTAAATTTCTGGTAAATTAGCCGTACAAACTGGATAAGAAAAACAAAGGGAAGATAGAAGCTGCTGAATTTGAGTTATAATTCTGACTCCTCTTGTTCTATTTCAAACATGGATGACAAATCTTGTTTGGAGGTGATGAGAACTATTCTGGAAGTTTTCGAAGCTAACTGAAACTTGTTTGGTGGTCATACAAATTTTATTTAGCTAATTAGTGGAGCGCACTCCAGTTAATTTCTAGCTCAATCAAAAAGTTCAATTTAGTTATTTGGTTGGTCCTAGTAGGATTTTCAGTTATTGTTTTTGGCATCATGAAATATATTTTTGTGTAATCATGAGATCAAACTTAAGTGAAGTTCCAATTTTTAAATGGATCTAATTGAGTTATCTTTCAGCAAGTTGTCTGTAACCATGTAAATAGTTTGTAATCGTATTGCTGCAAAGGATGGGTGTAATGGAAATATGAACCTTGAAGTATAATTCGCTTATTTCATTGCAATATAAGCATTAGTAAAATAAGTAATAATTTGAAGCACAGAGAAACACGGGATTATATGTTTTCTCCTGTTCACTAGGCATCATATAGTAGAATCGTCATCCTTTAGAATTTGCATCTTTATTCTTGGCTTGGCAATAACTTTGATTTTCTGAAGAATGAAAGGTTATACTGTGTGATCTTATATATTGGCTGTAGACCTCCAAAATGACCTGCAATAAACATCCAATTGTGCATGCAGCAAGTCAGGTACATCCCAAAAATTGGTACCCTATCCCTCTCATATTTTGTCGTCCGTGGGGCAAGCTTCCAGAAAATGTACCTTGCCATCCTAAGCTTGCAGACTTTGCCAACTGTATGAAGAAAAAAGGAAGAGGAATGTCCATCTTTATTTCTATTATAGATGGAGACTATCATGAACGTGCTGAGGATGCCAAGACAGCTTGCAGGCAGCTAAGCACGTATATCGATTACAAGCAATGTGAAGGTGTAGCAGAAATAGTTGTTGCTCCCAACATGTCAGAGGGCTTTAGAGGCATTGTTCAGACTATGGGCCTTGGGAATCTCAAGCCAAACATAATTGTTATGCGGTACCCTGAGATATGGCGGCGTGAAAATTTAACTGAAATTCCTGCTACCTTTGTTGGAATAATAAATGACTGCATTGTTGCAAACAAGGCAGTAGTTATAGTGAAGGGTCTCGATGAATGGCCTAATGAGTATCAAAGACAGTATGGTACCATTGATTTATACTGGATAGTGAGAGATGGTGGTCTTATGCTGCTGCTCTCTCAACTGCTTCTCACAAAAGAGAGCTTTGAGGGCTGTAAGATTCAGGTATTCTGCATTGCCGAGGAAGATTCTGATGCAGAGGGACTCAAGGCTGATGTAAAAAAGTTTCTTTATGACCTCCGGATGCAAGCTGAAGTGATTGTCATTTCCATGAAGTCATGGGAAGGCCAAGGGGAGCAGCAAGAATCCATTGAAGCATTTAGTGCTGCTCAGCGCAGAATAGCTAGTTATCTGGGAGAGATGAAAGAGAGAGCGCAGAGGGACAAGACTCCTTTGATGGCTGATGGAAAGCCAGTGGTTGTCAACGAGCAACAAGTCGAGAAATTCCTCTACACCACTTTGAAGCTGAATTCGACAATTCTAAAATACTCGAGGATGGCTGCAGTTGTGTTTGTAAGTCTACCTCCTCCTCCTGCCAATCATCCAGCATTCTTCTACATGGAATACATGGACCTGTTGGTTGAAAATGTACCTAGGCTCTTGATAGTTCGTGGATATCGTAGAGATGTTGTCACTTTGTTTACATAGGTGGTTCTGTTCATCTTCCCTTTTACCTCCCCTCCGTTTGTTGCTTTATTTCAATAGTTTCAATTCAATTCGTTACCTTTTCTTCCTTTTTTCCCCTTCTTTTTTCTCCTCGAGGTGGGTGTACAATATAGTTTTTGTAATCATTAATTCTTATTAACAGGATATTTGAAGAAAGAAAATTTTGTTGTTCATGAATCTCAAGGTGATGATTAGTCTTTTAGAATACGTTGAGATAGAAAATTTTGCTATCCGATGAATCTCCAGTTGATTAAAGTATGTTCTTGTATGATGACTATCAGCTAGCTTGCAATTTTTGCTTAAATTTATCGTACCTTTGCCTCAATCTTGCATAGTTGTCTTGCAGTCCATGACTTATTTACCTTTTGGACAGGTTTTATTAAGGTGCTTTGCAACTCTCATTTTGCCTTTTTAATGGGTATTTCAGTTGCGATGCTCAAAATGATGATAATTGTTGGACGAAGTTCAATCTATTTTGCTTAAAATTAATTTAAATAAGTAAATAAATAAATAAAAAGGAGAAAAGGATCTAAATTTGTCCTTGTATTTTGCGAAAAGGTCTAATTTTACCCTTCATTAGAAGTTTGGCTATGCAATGCAGAATGCCCTTAGTCACTTAACGGAGGGGAGATGAGATGGTTGAGCCAAACTTTTAAGCATAACGGCTAATTTGGACCTTTTACTATTATTACTATTACTGTTACTATTATTATTATTATTATTATTATTATTATTATTACTATTACTATTACTATTACTATTACTATTACTATTACTATTACTATTATTATTAATTAATCTCTAATTATTTAAAGTAGCATATAAATTTACCATCTAGCTACACTGCCACAGAAACGCAGCTTCATAACAACTCAAAATGCCCAAAAAAATTCCTCTTGGGCACAGTCAAACTACGTCATGGCTAAAGAAGAGAAAAAAATAATAATTCCCTTTCTATGATTTTGAAGTTGTGAAGTGGTTTTGAAGATGAAGGCCGGTGATGTTCTCCTGAAGAAACTATCATAGATAAGTGGCTGTGGAAGTTATGTTGTGGTGAAGGGACGGGAGACGGAGAAATAAATTTCAGATATAAGACCAGGGGTGACAAAATGGTTCAAAGAAAACAGTTAACCACCCATATTATCCACTATTAAAATATAACCCGAGTACGCATGTTGGAAGGGTTCAGGTTGAATTCGGCATAATAGTGGCCTAAAGTGGCCAAGTTTGACTTGAGTCAACACTTTAGGTAAACGACCTCAGAATCGAGATTTGAAAGTCTCAATAGGTTCGTATGATGATTTTAGACCTGGGCGTATGTTCGGATTGAGTTTTGGGTGGACCGGGAGCGTTTTGGCGCTTATTGTTGGAAGTTGGCGTCTTGAAGGTTTTAGAGTTTTTTTTAGTTTGATTTGAAGTAGACTTTAGTGTTATCGATGTCCGTTAGGGATTCCAAGCATTGGAATAGGTTCGTATAGTGATTTGTGACTTGTGCGTAAAATTTGACATCTTTCCGAGTTGTCTAAGTATGATTTGTCACGTTCGGAGATAGTTGGAAGTTTGAAGTTCAAAAGTTGATTAATTTGGTTTTGAAGTGCAATTCTTGGTTTTGACGTGGAACGACGAATTTAACAGGATGGAACAACGAATTTATAGCAAGGAATTCTATAGTTAAAGACTGAACACAAAATCAAGGAAAACAGAATTTAACTAAGCATGTTATACATATTGCAAGTAAAGATTAAAACACGTAGACATGCGATTTTAGGCTAAACATAATAACTATACATGTTAAGGTAACTTAGTCAAGGAATTTAAAGAAAACTACTTAGCAAGAACCGGATTTTTCAAAATATAACCCGAGTACGCACTCGTCACCTTGCATCTGCGGCTCCGTGTCATGACCCAAACATCCCTCTGAGACATGTCGTGACGGCACCTAGTCTCTACGACTAGGTAAGCCTAACAGATTGCGTAAAATATCAATAATGGAAACAAACTAAACAGCTAACAGCATTAGATACTGAACAACCAATAATAATGCCACTCGGCATGTACAATAACCAAACACTAGATGTACACAGTTTCCCAAAATCCAGAATATCATGAGTCACAAACTATAGAAAGAAAAATAGTATCTCTATACTCCAGAGTCTAACAAAAGAAAAATACAGGAAGTGTTTGACATGGGGAATAATAGAAAGGGACTCCGAGGTGTGTGGACGCGACAGATATACCTTTAAGTTTTCCAAAGCTATCCCGGCTCACTAAGAACTAGGCTGGTAGGAGGTACCTGGATCTGCACACGAAAAATATGCGTAGGGAAGGGCATGAGTACGCCACAACAGTACCCAGTAAGTGCCAAGCCTAACCTCGGTCGAGTAGTGACGAGGTTAGGTCAGAGCCCTACTGGTATATATCTAATAAACCAAGATAGAATGAAATACCGCAGTAAGATAAAGACTAAAATTTAACAAGAATGAAATCATAGAAGAGAATAACTCAGTACACAGAGATAACAATAGGGGATCTCCCGAGATACCGTCTCGTAATCCCAAACGTAAATATGCAGGGCGGATGTCACGACCCCAAACCCGGACCCGGTCGTGATGGCGCCTCTCATGAAGACAAGGCCAGCCGACACTTTCCATACCCAATTTTTAACAGTTAAGCATTTATAAACAGTCTAAACATGAATAAATAAACCAAAAGTTAAGCAAATGATAACATAAGTCACAGAAAATAACCCAACACAGCCCGATACCGGGGTGTCACTAGTCATGAGCATCTATAAAACCTAATACAAGTCTGAAAAGTCTACAAACTATTACAAATGTCTAATAAGAGATAGAAATGATAAAGAGGGAGAAACACGAGACTGCGGATGTCAAGCAGCTACCTCGTGGACTCCGATATCTGCCGGGAGCTCTCAACTCGCACTGGTAAGATCCGCAACGCCTGAATCTGCACACGTGGTGTAGGGAGTAAAGTGAGTACTCCAACTCAGTGAGTAACAAATGTAAATAATGTCTGAAAGCAAGAAATCACGTAAAGCACAAAGCATTCTATAATGAAGCAGTAAAACCATTTAAAAATCAGTGAATCAGTGAAAGATAGGAAAAAATCCTTTATATCAAACGTAATTTCATGAAAAGCCTCTTTCAACAATTAAGCAGGTAATGGACAGTTAATTAAGAAAATAAACACATAAAGGTTCGCCCCTCGGGCACAATATCCACAATTCCGCTCCTCGGGCAACATCTCAGAACAATACCAGCCCCTCGGGCTCAATCTCACATCACAATGGGTACCCGCGCTCACTGGGGGTGTACAAACTCCTGGAGGGGTCCCTTACGGCCCAAGCGCAATATCAAGCCACCTCGTGGCATCATCACTAGGCCCTCGGCCTCATATCAATCAAGCTACCTCGTGGCGTACACATCTTAGGCCCTTGGCCTCATAGTTAGTATCAAATGTTTCCTCACAACACAGGCCCTCGACCCTACTCAGTCAAAATCCTCACAAGTCACTCGGGCAATAATAAACATGATTTTCAGCCCAAAATATCATTTAAAAGATCATGTAAGTGTTAAAAAAGAGTAAACATGGCTGAGTACGAAAAACAGTGAAGTATAAGATGACTGAGTTCAGTAAAAAGTCAAAACAGTGAAGAAATACTAGTAAAAATCCCCGAAGGGTCCAAATAGTGTGCACGGAGCCCAAATATGACATTCAGCCCAAGTAATGATGATAGCAAATAGATTTCGGTCAAATACGCGGTAAAATCATCAATCGGGATGGACCAAGTCACAATCCCCAACAGTGCACGACCCCATGCTCGTCATCAAGCGTGTACCTCACCTCAATATAGCACTACGATGTGAAATCCGGGGTTTCAAACCCTCAGAACATCGTTTACAATCATTACTCACCTCAAACCGATCAAATCTCTAGCTCGCGACGCCTTTGCCTCTCAATCGGCCTCCACTCACGTCGAATCTATCCAAAATCAGAATGAGGTCGTCAAAATATGCTAAGGGAACGAAGCCCAAGCGAAAATAATCAAAATACGACACAAATTCTGAAATTACCAAAACTCGACCCCCGGTCCCACATCTCGGAATTCAATCATTTTTGCATAAATAAATTCCTTATCTCCCCACGAGTTCATACATATCAAAAGTTCTGAAATTCAACCTCAAATGGTCCTTCAAATCCTCAAGCAAAGGTCTAAGTTTCCAAGCCCTAGTTTCCCCAATTTTCACCCTTAATTTCCATGATTTCTAGTTCTAATCCATGTAATAATAGCTTAGGAACGAGTTTTAGATCCAAATTCCTTACCTCAATGAAGTTCCCTTGAAATCCCTATTTCAAATCGTCCAAAAAAGCTCCAAAGCTAAAGTCAAAATGGTGAAATAGCTCAAATTCGTGAAGGCCACAATTTATACCTTCTGCCCAGACATTTTCGCATATGTGGCTGTATTTCCGCATCTGTGGTACTGCATCTGCGGTCAAAATCCACCGCATCTGCGGTCCTCACTTAAACTCCCATTTCCGCATCTGCGATCCATTATCCGCATCCGCGACTTCGCAGATGTGGTCCTACTAGCCGCTTCTGTGGTTCTTGCTCCTCAAGCCCTCTTTCTGCTTCTGCGGCCGATCTCCCACACGTGCGGCGTCACACCTGCGGTCCCCAATCCGCAGGTGTGGAAATACCAGAAGCAGCAAAAGATCAGCAGCTGCAAACATTCCTCAAACTTTTCGTCAACCATCCGAAATCACCCCGAGGCCCCCCAGACCTCAATCAAAAGCACAAACATGTCCCAATACCTTATCCAAACTTGTTCTAATCTTCAAAACACCTCAAACAACATCAAATCAACCAAAACACATCAGATTCAAGCCTAACTTTCTAAAATCTTCCGAATTCCGCTTTTGATCAAAAACCTAACCAAACCACGTCCGAATGACCGGAGATTTTGCACACACATCCCAAATGACACGACGGAACTTCTTCAACTCTCAGAATTCCATTCCGACCCCTATATCAAAATTTCACCTACCAATCGAAAATCGCCAAAATATCAACTTCGCCAATTCAAGCCTAAATCTACTCCGAACCTCCAAAACTCATTCCGATCACGCTCCTAAGTCCCAAATCACCTCCTAAAGCTAGCCGAACCATCAGAACTCACATCCGAG